GGCTTTTAACAGTTCTGTAGAAAGTTTAAGTCCAATTCGGCTTTTTTACATCTTCTTCATGTTTTTCCGACAAGGAGAATCCTTCTCTTTGAAAATCAAAATTTAGATTGCCAAAACGACGATCCCAAATAAAGAATGCCAGACAGTGTATAACTATAGCAGTAACTTTTAATTTTGAAGACATGTTTCGGTTAAAACATTAACCATTATCAATTCAACAAAAAAGGAAGAAATGAACAGAAAACGCTGCTCTCAACGTATGTCAGGGCAGATGTAAGGGCAAGGGCCCGGCCCCGGTCACTCCCGGCCCTTCCTCTTTCTGAAGGTATAAAAAAGAAAAAGAAAAAAGGAAGAAAGAAAGAAAAAGAAGAAAAAAGATCGCCCCAAAAGCCTCTTTATTTCGGAGAACAGAACACAGCAATTTAGTGGGGACATGCCTCCGGATCCCCTACGGTTTTATTATCTTGATCGGCCCCATTTTCGCCACCCCTACCCCCGAATTCTCCCATTTTATGTGTAGGACTTCTTTGATAGCTAGTTGAAACTCAGTGTGGGCTGTGTCGATGAATCAAATTCAATCAATAAATTGATCATTCAATTAATTTAAATTAATAGCTTATTCAACATATTTAATTCCACTATTAAAAGTTAGAACAAGTCGCCTTGCAAAATTTTAAAAAAGTATGGCAAATCTTGACAAACATCGAGAATTGAAAACAAATTTTATATACCGGTCCCTGGAAGATGACTCAGTCTGTTATTTATTATTAAGGACTAGGCCTAAGTCAGATGATAATGGAGTATTTTCTCTGCCTATTGGCTTCTCGTTTGAAAATATTTTTTCATTATATTTTGTAATTCTTCAACTTCAACTTCAACTTTATTTTCCAATAAGTATAAGTAATATAAAATTCAAATAAATACATAAACCAACATAGGAAGGAGCTAGAAAATTGTGTAAACACTAATCAAGCGAGCCCCTTTAAACGTAAAACAATTGCATAATAATTATTATTTTTCAACTTAAAAAATATCAAATATACCGGTACTATTTCAAAGCAAAAGAATAAATAAAATTTATCAAAAAAATCATTTCGAAGAAAATATATAGTACATACATTATTACATAAATATACAAATAAATAATGGGTAAGTTTACTTCAATAAAAATGTATGTGGTCCTGATCTGGATCTGAATTTGTCATACTCCGAAAAAAACACAGATTCCTTCATCACATCAGAGATTTATTGACCTGACCCCACACTCCCCCCCCCCTCCCGTTTGACAGTTTGAAGACCTACCAGAAATGAATTTTGAAGCTTTTAAAATCTGTGGTATCGTTTTGTGGCAATTTCTTCTAGTAAGGTATCGCAAACGGGAAGGAGCTAGAGACATAAATCATTGTTCTAACAGGTATTTGCATGTAGGAGTATATTTGCTTGTTTGCTCTTATGATTAAAACAAAGATATAGGTCCCCTATGTATGATAATTCTTTGATCCATTGCTTTTGAAGTAAAATTCTCTTGACTTATTGACATAATGATGTTTTTAAAATGCTGTTAGTTTTCTGTGGGATGCCAAATAAATAAAATAAAATAAAAATGTCTTATCAATGATGGTAATTATAATTACTGATAATAAGTGATCTGTTACTTATGTTTTGCACTAATTACCTCTTGCTCTATTAAGTACTGCTATTTTGGTTATTAAATCAAAAACTGAATGAAAACTATGTTTGAGCCAGGGGCGGATCCAGCCTGCCAGAAAAGAGGGGGTGCAATCTGCGAGCGAAGCGAGCAGCCTTAGGCCGGGGGCCAAGGGGCCGTCTAGGGCCGAGGAGTACAGGGGCAGAGCCCCTGGTTGGGGTCCCACATGGTTGGGGTCCCTTGAAGCCCAGCACATTTGAGGAATATGAGGTTGTACTGAGTCGATTTTGACTATCTAGCATGGTAGTTTTCAGTAACAAATAAATAAAAAAAAAAAAAAAGGTGTATGTCTTTTAAAAGAAATGTTAATATACAGGGTACCTAGCAATATGCAACTATGAACTGTTGAAATGAAACTAACAGCTGTGGGTTTTAGTGCCTCTTCCACGAACATCTCAAACATAATCTTTGACAACATGCAAAGACTCATAAATGTACACCATTTCAAAAGAGAAATTTCACTTCTAGAAAACATGACGAAGTTTCTCAGCAACATCAAGCATAAAAATCACAAAATCAGCAAAAAGGAAAACTAATATCCAAAATCCGTTAAAATAAACAACAAAATCCGCTACTGTATATTAACATTCCGTAATTTACAAGTGTTCTACTTCTCACCAAGTGGATTTATGAATAGCACTCTCCTAGCGTGTTTTTGATAGGAAAAGAAGACTTAAACACAGTTGGTGTAATTTTTTTTTTTTTATTGTTTTTGTTTTTTGCAAAAAATAGAGGGGGGGGGGCGTACGCCCCTTACGCCTACTTTGTTTCATGTCAATTAGAGACAACAAGATTATACAATTTCATATGTATTTCAAATGTAAATCAGTGATTATATTAGAGTGTTCAATTGCTGTCATCTTCGGATTCGGTTTAAACATCGTTTTTTTTATACATCATATTTCTGTCTTTAAGTATTGACAATTATCTGTGCTACAAGCACTACTCGGTCAAGTTCATATGAGTAAAAAAATGTTTCTTAGGCAAGCATAAATAATGGTTTCGGTCGCCATCTACCTGAGCTAAAATCTAGGTCTACATAACTACGGTATTATGTGTATCGTTTCCTTCTGTAAAATACATTTCCGTCATAGAGTCCAAGAGTTTATCGACGACCATCATAATCTTTGTAATTTTACGTTTACTAACCAGTCTAGTCTACTGAATTTGGTGCTACATTCAAATTAGTAATTTTAAGTATTCTCTTTGTTTGCTTTGACGTTTATATAAGCAACTGGGTTGTCATCATTCCACTCTAGATCTTCATATGTCTTTTCCTCTGCACTCGAATCACGTTTATATGACATGTAAGCCTGTAAAATTAAGAATGGGAAGCATTGTTGGTTTGTTTTTGTAGAATTGGACATATTAAAGATCGTTTTAAAGCATAGCTCGGATTTAGCTTTGAGATGTACTTGTATTTTTTGCCATTGGTCATTATCTTCTTTAATAAGCCCTCTGTAGTAATTATAGCCCTCTGTAGTAATAGTTATAGTGAAGAAATGGTCAAATAAGCGGAAGCTTTAGAAGACTCGAATCATCAAGTAAGTAAGAATAAAGGGAGTTTACAGCTTCATTAGTATGATAATGCTATGTTGTAAAGCAATGTTTGCTTGACTGGTGCAGCATTTTCCTTACCAATGCTTGTTTATCTCTGGGCGTTGCTTGGAGATCCTTTAAGATAAGTAATAATATAATATCATTCATGTATTTATTTAGTCTGTTAAAAATGCCAAAAAAAAAATCCATCGATCTGAGGGGTCTTTTATTAACTGTGGATGGCTTTTCGTAAAAGTATACCTTTAATTTGCTACATTGTACGGTAAGAATTCAACCCAACTTAAGTATATAGGATTATTCACAAAGAGCACGCGCTTATTTTACGCAGGTCTAATCAACCTCCTTGGTCTAATGTAGCATGCAAAACACTAATTAGGTCATTCTGTTCCATTCGTTCCCAATCACCCCGAACTGTATAACAATTTAGCGCCCCACGGACCCACGTCTCCAATGTGAATGTACCAGTTTATTTTTTTCTGAATGATGTCTAATAGATAAATCATTTGAATATAGGTCTGTGAGAAATTAAATGTTTTAATTAACATTTTAAATGCTTTTGAGGATTTGGAGGCCTATATGCGAGTATTCCTTTATCCTTCTTACCACCGGTTCTTCGTAATGTCTGGATGTTCCTTTGGTTACCTTTAAAGTAAATTATATAAAATTAAAACAGTTAAGTAGATAAAAAAAAAACAACGTTTAATCAAGTTTTTTCCTCTTTTAGTAGCCTACAGTTTATCATTCTAATACTGGTCGTCAACACGATAGACGTCAATACCAGTCGTCTTCATCGTAATTTATTGTATAGCAAGCAGACAACATTATCATAAACGAAACATTCATATGCTTAATGATGTCCAATGACAGACATTTAATTAACTTAGCCCGTCAGACGGGCGCTATCCTATCCCGTATATATCTTACCTGTGCCTTTGGATTTCTGATCTTTCCGAGGACGACAGATATAGATGAAGATAAAAGGACTCCCAAAAAGAAACTTAGAAACGTCAATCCAACAAGAAGACTAGTATTTGAACCTGAACATTTCTGTGGTACTTTGGTAAAATAATAGTGATAATAAACAGTGTATTACAAACATCTGAAATGTGTTAGTCAATCATTTTCTAAATTTGCAAACAACTAAAGATATATTGTATTACTGAAATTATCATACACAACTAATGTTTATAGGTTTTCAAAAATAGGGAACGCATGCTTCTGAAGTGTTACTAATATTTTAATTGTTCGATTAGTCGATCGACAAACAGACCAACACAAGCAAATGGTTTAAATACCAAACAACTAAGCGACGACCGACTAACTATTCGAATATCTTCAACAATTGGATGAACAAAAAAAAAACAAAAAAAAAACACGTACCGGTGGCTGAAATACTTGCTATGGATGTTGCTGATGGTACTATTAAAATAAAATTCTTTCATTAGAAAATAAAACCAAATATAGTAATATACATAAATGTAGGCCCGATAGGCAAACTTCACAATTGGTGATGGTGTCCTCATTCATATTTAAAATAATATAAATGAGGACACCGCCACCAATTATATATTATACTTAATATAAATGAGCACACCACCACCAATTATATTAAAAATAATATATAATTGGTGGTGGTGTCCTTATCAAAAATAACATTCTTTGTCAAAAAATTTAAACTTTTAGTGAGAATGAAATAGAAGCCCTTTTGGGTAGAGTAAATTTACAGCATTCTAAACCTTTACTCTTAGGAGTACTCAATTTTACCGAAATTTTTAAAATTTTTTTCTTTTTTATCATATAACGGAAACACGATTTACAGTTGAGGCATTCAAATACCTTAGAGTAGTTTTGGATCGTAAATTAACATGGTTAGAATATGACAAATTAACATGCAATATCTTAAAAGGTATTGGCATTATCCACCGTGATAAATTGTACTTACCCCATAATGCTTTTAAAATGTTGGTGCCTTAGTGGTGCCTCTTTTTGGAATTGTAATTGTGTCTATTCGAATTGTAATGTTAAACTCTTAAATTCTCTTCAAGTACTTTTCAACAGACTAAAACTAATGTTACTTTCCACAGATAATAAAAACTCCAGTTGTAGATATTTTAAGATATTTAGGATGGTGCAAACTTAGTGATAAACAAATATAATACTTTGTAAATGTTTAAAGGACCAAACCCTATTATAATATATCTGAGCTGGTATTTTTATTATCTGCGGAAAGTAAAATTATTTCTAGTCTGCTTAAAAGCCCTTGAAGAGAATTTGAAAGTTTAACATTACAATTTAACCAGACACAATTACAATTATCAAACATGTTCAATCAGATTATTCATGCTTTTTTGACTTCTTGTACAATGAATACTCTAATTGAACACCAATTGAATAATATGCAGGGTAAAAGAACCTTTGTTTACAGATAAACTAAATTATGGAATAAACGCCCAGATAACATTAAAACAAACTTTGAATCCTCGACTCTTTTAAATTTCAAAAATTGTATGTCAGATCCTTATTAGATAACTTACATCAATTGTTGATGCATATTATTCTCCAATGTAAATTTTTGTATTGGCAATATTTGAAGACATTTTTTAATGATGTTTCTCCAATAGATTTCATTTTTTTTTATAATACTGTAAGTGTTATTTCAGTATAAAAACAGATGAATAAAAAATAAATAAATTGATGTCTTCGTGTTTTCTATTCATTTGCAAATAATCGTACATATAAACATATGAATGAAGAGAAGACGTACCTATGGAGAACGAACTGGCTATGGATGTCGTTGATGGAGCTAATGAGCAAAACAAGATTATGTTTTTAAAATTTAGCAGAAACATCATTAGCTAGCAATAATAATGTAAATTTTACAAAATACAGTTTTCTGTACTGTCATCGATAGAATTTATTTTTATATTATGAATTACTGTATTGTAATTACCTAATTATTCCTATAATTGTACTTAGAAGTAGGCCTAAACAATGACAGTGTCCCTGTGTCACTCAGCTTTCCTTCATCCCCACGGTAAGCTGCATTCTCTGCTCGACATTGGTATTCTACTTCGTCCATTGTATTGACTCTGCTGATCTCTAATGTTGTGTCTGACTGTGGATACTTCTCAGTATCAGACACATCAAGTACGTCGCCATCTTTGATCCACGTGATGGTGATAGGTGTTGGAACACCATCAGGCAAAGAATGTTGCAGTTGTGTTTATGATGAATGATTTCTCTTTTGGCATCAAAGCTGGCGCATCAAGGTCTGTAATGACAGTTAAATTTTTTTTTTCCAAACCAAAAATCAAGCAAATCTTGGCATATCTAGGCTAATCATTGCAAAAATACAACAAAAAAATTACAATAAAATAAAGATGTGAAGTCAGTACTTACAGTAGACTGTTAAATCTGAGACATTTTCTGCCATGTCAGAGTTTGTTGTAACTAAGTCTCTAAACAGGTAATAACCTGCATCCTCTACTTTAACATTAGATATAATAAGGCTTCCATTATCACTTAAGCTGTATCTACCGCTGGGTTGTGGGTTTCCAGTGATATTGGTTATAATAGATTCTCCTTCAACACCATTTTCATTACTTTTGAACCAAGCCAAAAAAGAAAAATCGTCTCCTGGTTCAAGTGTCAATGTATACGTAATTAATGCATTTCCACCTAATATTGCTGTAGCAGGATCTACTGTCACAGATCTAGATTGAGCAAGGACACCTGGAACTAAGCAAAAAAAGGAATTTACATTTCATAATACAAGACAATACTTTTGCAGAAGATTATCTCTAAAACTGCTAGTTAAATATTGTATATTGACTGTCACTGATTGATTTAAACAAGGACACATGGAACCAAGCAAAAGTTAGCAACTAACCCATTTCGAAGTATAATGAACAAAAACATGTAAAACATGAAGCAAAGAAGATTGAGTAGTACGGTAGCTTATTAAAGGGGGTGTCTATAAAACAAAGACCAAAGTCCAAAGACCCAAAAAAGGGACCCCTATTTTTTCTCTTTTATTTTGATGATAATAAGCCAAGCAGTTACAAAATCAAAATTACGACATTTTGTGGGCGTCTGTTTGTAAAATGTTTAAGGGTCTTCGTTTTATATACGGTACTGCACTGTAATGCATAGACCTGTTTTAATACACTACTTAGATAGGCTTTTCCTTTTCCATCTTGATTTCAGAAGTAAAAAAACATTTTTCGAGTTTTTTTTCAATCATATAGTGAAGTAGACTACACTTTAAAAAACATTTTGCTTGAAAATATTTTTGTTTTTGGATACGAAGCCCCGTTATGGAGTTATGATTTTTTAAATAACATGATGTCAGAAAATCAGCCCAAAAGCTTATCTTATTTCTGTTGCTTACTGATTCTCAATGTTTGTCATTACTTCAAGATGTCTACCGATTCGTGGAAAAGGCCTATTGTTAATTAATATATTACTTAAAACATGAAATAATATTTTATACTATTAGCGAGGCTATTAATTATTCCCTCAAACCAGTGTAAAAGATGTAACTAATTTGTAGCCCAGTTGACTTTTAGCAGAGTTGATCTGTGGCCGAGTTGAATTGTGGCCGAGTGGGGTCCACTCTCTAGTCATAAGGTTCGCTATATATAAGGTCCGCTATATATAAGGTCCATTGTTCATAAGGTCCGCTGATTATAAAGACAATGGTTTATAAGATTCACTATTTATAATTCTTTAAAAAGTCCACTATTCATAAAGCTCATTATTTATAACGTTCGCTAATTATAATAAAATAACAGGTTCGCTAGTCATAATAAAGGGCTCATTAGTCATAATCAAGAAAAGAGTTCGTTATTTATAATAGAAAAGTAGGAACGGTCCGTTAATCATAAGCTCGCTATTCACAATAAAAAGGAAGTTCGCTATTCATAATAAAGAAAGAGGTTCCCAAAAGGTCCACTGATTAAGCTTTTCAAATGTAAATATATAAATTTATAAAATATAAAAATATAGTCTTATCTAAACAACACGTAAAATGTTTGAATTATTAACTGTAACCATTAAATATAAACATGTATGTAGTATAAGGCCTAGCAATGGCTAGTGAAGTCTGTAGCATATATATTTATTTCATATCATATTTTATATTTCTGTTCCATATTTTTATCCATATAATGCTTTATTTTATCTATTTATGTATGTAGTATAAGGCCTAGCAATGGCTAGTGAAGTCTGTAGCATAGTCAAAATAAATATATATATATATATATATATATATATATATATTTATATATATATTTTATATCATATGTTATATTTCTGTTCCATATTTTTATCCATATAATGCTTTATTTTACCTATTTATAATTTTCCATTTCCTGCTTATATCCTATTTCTCTATTTGTTTAGAAGCCATCCCCTCACAGTCAGTATATCGTGGGAACAGCCATTATCTGCTTTCTCATTCCTTATTGTTTATCTATACTCAGCATTAAGACATTGTCTTTGCTAGTAAGCCTTCTTACTTTAGATAACAACTCAGCTCTCTAGTTAATTCTTATTTACTATTTCTGTTTATTTCGCATTAAGTTTTAGTACCGCCCATGCTTTGTTGATAGGCCAATTAAATTTCAGGCAACTTGTAGCTAAGTATCTCTAATGTATATCACTCAAGCTGATGAAGTCCACAGGAGTGGACAAAATATTCGTGTTTAATAAATTATGTTCCAAAAATACGTCAACTTGATTTTTGTT